AGGAAATGTGATAGCAATGTGTTATTAAATTTATATCTCTCTGCAGGTTACATCTTGATCTATAGTGGCCAAAATGTCTCTATAGAAATTCAAAAACATTTTGGGAAAATTGTATATGCATCTTCTTCATAATCCTGCAAACCTATTTGTTTCCTTTAAAAATTAATCCTTTAAAAGATGAAAACAGGCAAACTTTTAAACTGCTTGGTTTTCTTTTTATAAGAAACAGTTCACACCAAGTAACTGCAGATAATGCAAATACTAAAGTAATTTCATTTTCCACTGAAGACCACAATTCACTCACATTTGAGGAGCTTCTATTGTTTTCACTTAACTCTTCCAGGGCATCTCATCTCTCTTGTCTAAATTAAATCAAATTGCTTTAACACAGTGAGTAGCTCCAGGACCACGAATGAGACACAAAATTGGACACTTGGCACAACTGGGAAATGATATTTCGTTATGCAAGAATCTATCACATTATTGCCAAGTGGAAAGGATTTGAGAAGTTAATTAATTTGTTTTCTCTCTCAGTTAAGTGCTTCTGTTGCTCAGCTCCTTCCTGCACTCCAAAGAAGTCTCTGTCTCCTGTGTCGGTGGTGGACACCACCCAGAAACCTTCTTGGCATGCAGATGTGCTTGATTTTTGTTTTGAATGTGCAGAGTGAAGAGAAGCACTGACTGGGAGCCAAGTGCTGGCTATGAAGGTGATGTGTAGGGTTGTGATTATGATGTTCCAACTTGGTATTAAATTCCAAGTGGCAAAGGTGCCCATAAGGCTTTTGATGTATTATAGTGCACACGCATGTGATACGCAGCTCTCTAAACTCTGGGGCCCAGGCCAGTGGCCTCACCTTTAGGGACTTTTGCTTCCTTTCCATGCTGGCCAACCCCTCCCATAGTTCTGCTGTATTGGTCTTACTTTTGGTTAAATAGTTAAACACAAACTGTTTAAAGTAGGAGAGGAATTGATTACAAGGGTGTTGAGTAGCTCAGGGAATCAACAAGAAGGCTAGGGAACCTGGCCCGGACACGGGAAGAAACCAAGTAAACCAAGCAGCTAAGCATATCTCTGAGGTCACACCCTGGGCAGTGGGGTGAGTATATGGCCTATAGTGCCCTTGCTCTGTGCCTAGGGCAATCATGTCCAGTGATACTTTCAACTTCGTGTCACTATCTCCAGACTTGAGTCCCCTGGCAAAAGTTTCTGACTGGCCAATCATAGGTTGTGTGCCTTTGCTCTGGTTGATAGTGTATGCTGAGGCAATGTCTGGCATCCTCTGGCTTCCTGCACAGCAGAAGGGGGGAGGGACTTGCCTTTGAAATCATTAATTCAAACATTCTACCTTTGGTTATGACCTATTCTGCTAGCTTCTTGCTTTCTTGCTTAAGGACAGACATCCCTTGTAAGAGCTCTTCACTTTCATGGAGACCTGTCACCCACAACTCTACCTTCTCTCTAGCCATCTGTCCCACCTGTCTTTACTTTCTGGTCCATCTTGGAGTCCATGGCCAACTCATTATTTCTACCACTCTCTGAACTCTTTCTCCACTGCATGCACCTGATGAAATTCCTACCTTGGGAAGAAGATGATCATCTACCTGGGTCCACATCAGAGTGAGTCATCCTTGAATCCTTTCTCTCACCCTCAGTACTTAATACATCAGCAAGACCTGTTCATTCTAATGTCAGAATAAATCTACAGTCTACCACCTCTATGTCCACAATCATCCCCCTAGTCCAAGCAATCATCATCTGTTACCTTTACTATTACCATAGCTCCCTGACTGGCCCCTTTTCACTCTCTCCTTTCCTACAGGCCACTCCATTCAGGACAGTTAGGTGCTCTTATATAGTGTCAGTCACATTATACGCCACTTCTCTACCTTTTTTTCTATTCAGATGGAAACAGGATTCTCAATGAGACTTAAAAGAACATGCATAACCCAGCCACATCCTACCTTTATGCACTATGCCATGCTCACTTCCCTCCCTTCACTCTACTTGGTTCTCCATTGCTTTTCTTCAATGCCTAGACAGTACCAGATGTCTTCTGTCATCTTGTTTCTTCTGCCTTGAATGTTTCCTCCCTAATTTGTTGTACAGCTAACTTCCCTAACACCCTTTAATCTTAACAGAAATAGTCTTTTTCAGAGAGGTTTTCTTGATCTTCTAAAGCAAAATAAATTTCTCTGTGATACCTTCTTGTCATAGCACCTAGCATTTCCCTCTCTAGTGCTTGTTGGTTCCTGTGGTTAATAGCTTAATACTTGACACAGGGCAGAAGTGCTTTTTGTCTTGTTTGCTCTTATAGCCCCAGCACCAAGTCTGAACACAGAAACATTTGTGAACGAATGAGTGAAAGGGATCAGCCTATAATAGGGTGCTGGTGGGAACCCTTTCATTCTCTACAGTCTTATTTAGCCTACAATCATTTCCTTCAGCTTCTAAATTCATCAGGCTTATAACAGAATGTGCATGATTGTCTCCATTTCCCTGGAGTTTAGGAGTCAGATGGTAAGATTTTTGTCAAAGGAAAGAAGAAATCCAACATGGAAAGAAATACAAACAGAGAATACTCCCCCGAGTGGCTACACATCTTCACTGTAAGTAGTAATCTGTGTGCAACTAGACCTGAGTTATTTGCACGTCTCTAATCCTTTTACCAATAGCTTTGCATCTAGACCTCCAACTGCATTGTACATCCACAAGTCATTTCTTTGTCAACACTGTATTGGAGCAATTATAATAAATTATAATTATACTTTAATTATAATAATTAAAGAAGTATTCATTTTTTATCCTAATACAGTTTGTCTCCACCAAACTTACATTTGAATTTTCCATGCTAATTCCTTCACATAATAGTAAACTTGAAATGGCAATGACAAGAAATTACCTAGATGTCTGTATATTGTCTACTGCAGTTCTGTCTGATTCAATTAGTTTTTGCTTCGTTAATTAGAACAGGCTTATGTTGTTTGTGGATTTTTTTCATAATTTTTTTCTTCTCTTCTTTCCTCTTATTGCTCACCTCTAAGCAATTTCATCCTTTACTAACAATGTAAGAATTAGGTTGATAAGACAGATAAAAATGTAAAATTTGCAATAAAAAGCTTTGCTTTCTCTTAGGAAAATATGTACTTCATGTATTAGCTACGTTATAAGAGTTAACTAAGGAAAAATAAAAAAGTCTGTTGATATGAAATAATATTTCAAGTAGATTTAAGTTAGTCATGTATTTACTCGTTGAGAAATACTGAACAACACAATGAAATATTCTGTGGGAAAGGTGGCATTAAAGTTTTTAAAAGCATAAAGACTAATTCTTACTGATAAAGTCTCTGCACCCCTCCCAGGTCTTAACTATTTCAGACAATTAGCTACAAATATATTTTTGTAATTGAACATGAATTATGCCTTTCTGCATGTAATCTTTTTTTTTTGGCAGTATTGGGGTTTAAACTCAGGACCTCACTCTTGCTAGGCAGGTGCTCTACCGCTTGAGCCACTTTGCCAGCCCTAAATAATGTCTTTCTTGTCTTTCTTAACTCTCATCAGTACATACACAATTTTGTATAAACATATTGATTATGGAGGTATTTACAAAGTGGAGGTGATAGAAAGGTTGGGATGAGATGAGGTGATGGATGATGCCAGGAAACTAAGTACTTGGGTTTGTAACGGGCATTGTTGACTACCTGGAATTCATTAAAACCTCCCAAATTGACCTCAGTATTTGCTATTATATCTATATAATAGATATTCTCTGTCAGTCAAAGTACTTAAGGAGAAACCAATCCTGCTCTCAGTTCCAGGGGCTGGCCATATTCTCCAGGAGTAAATCTGTATCTTTTCCTGTGAAAGGCTCTGGAATTCAGGTCTAAGGGCCAGATGGTTGCCTGGTTCAGGAATGAGACAATGAGACACTGAGATGAAGGTGGCTGAGGGTCTCTGGCAAAAATTTGCTCATAACAGAGAGCAAGGAGAAGTCATGGGCCCTCTACATGGTGACACTGTCATCCATGTATAGATGAGGCCTGGGCTGTGGCAGCCATTTTTCTAACACTGGAGAATGAAGCCTGTGAAAGAGGAGGGGAGGACTAAGAACAGCAGAGGGTGGAGCTGGAGGCTCAGCTGAACTCTGCCTCACCTCTGCCATTTCCAGATGTTATTAGCTTGTTAGTCAATGAATATTTTTAAAGCATTTTTTTTACTTGAGATTTCTGTTTCTGGAAGCCAAACTAGAAATTTTAGTTTATGATATCCCGATTTATACTTCCTTAATGTTTTAAAATTTTAAACTTTAAAGTTTGGCAAATTTTTCTGATTATAAACATAATACATGCTCATTGTAGAGACAAAGAAAATATTGAAGAATACAAAGAAGATTAAAACCATTCATTACCCTATTATCCCTAAGTAACTGCTGTGGATGTTTTGAATCAGTGTTCTCTTCCTATACACAAAGTTACAAGTACACTTTACATATTCATTTATCCTTTTTTAAATGCAACTCACAGCCTAGTGGGAAACAGAAACAAACAAAACACTAACAAATAGATGAATATTTGGGACTCTGGAAGGTGTGTATTAATTTTTTTATTCACTTATTCATATGTGCATACATTGTTTGGGCCATTTCTCCCCCCTACTCCTACGGGTATATTAATTAGTAACCTGAGTCCACTGTTGGGATGGTGTTGCCAATAATGTTATAACCCATCTCCAGAACAAAATATAAAAGATTTTTAAGGTAATAATTACTAAAGTGTAATGTAAAGTATAACAATGTATCATTCATTAAGTCAATCAGTTAACAATAGGTCTCCCTTCAATAGGTGGTATATATGTGTTATATATAATATGTTATATATATTATATTAATAGGTGTTATATGTAATAACAAGTTGTATCCTGTTGCTGACTGCTTTGGCCCAACTATTATATTTTTGCCATAATGTTATTTTACCAATGAAAGCAAAAACTGAAGTCTTACATTGATCATCTTGACAGCACATCCACGAAAGGGTTCAGGGTTCACCTCTTGCAGCAGGACCTTATTTGGGTGGAAGTTTTATTACCACGATTGTACCAATTCCTTCAGTTCCAAATGTTTTTTAATTTTCAGACCCATTAGTTGACTGGAAGAAGAGAGACATGGGGGCTTATTAGTTAGTGCTTAGCTACTGGTTTCTAAGTTACTTGCATAGTGGTCAGGGAGTCTAGATGCTGACACCAACCCTTAGATATACAGAAATTTGTTTAGGATCCAGTATGTTCAATTTTTATGTTTCACATATTCTTGGAAGAAAAGTGTATTCTGCAGTTTTTGAGGCAATGTTGTATACCATCAACTTAGATTAAGCTTGGCAATTCATGTCATTCAACCCTTTTAGTCCCTTAAAGATTTTTGTTCCCTTGATTTATGTATTAGTTTGTGCTGTAACAAATTACCACAAATGGATGGCTTAAAGCAACAGAAATATATTTAATTTTGGAAGCTAGAAGTCTGAAATAAGGTGTTTCAGGGTTCACTCTCTCTGGAGTCTCTAGAGAATTCATTCTTTGCTTCTTCTAGTGTTGCATGGATGTCAACATTCCTTAACTTGTTGCCACATCACTCCAATCTGTTTTTGTGGTCACATTATCTCCTTTGCTTCCCTATGTCTTCTCTTCTCTCAAATCTTCCTCTTTTATAAGTACAATTGTCATTGGGTTGATGGTCTACTTGGAAAATCTATGGTGATCTCTACATCTCAAGAGCTTTAACAACAAATGCGAATATTTATTCAAATAAGGTCACATTCACAGATTCCATGGATTAGGACATGGAAGTGCCTTGGAAGGGTGTGGCATATTCAACTCAACTGCAATCTGTTAAAAACAAAACCCACCTACTACTATGGTAGATTTTGTTTTGCACTTCTGTCAAGTTTTTGCTTCCTGTATTTTGTAGCCATGTTTATGATTTTTGTATCTTTTCTGAGTATTGGAACTTTTATGATATAGTGACCTGTCTTTACCTCTAGAAACATCCACACACCTTCTACCTAGAGTCTACTGATTACAAATCATCAATTGTCCGAAAAAGAATTTGTCTTCCTTTTCCCATCTTTTGGCTGGGACTAGAATTCTTAGGTTGTACGTTTTTCCCCTCATTATTTCATGTAGTTCTCTTATATGTAAACAAAGTTTTTGTGTTCCCACGTATCCCTAGGTCAGAGAATTAAAAAATATAACTTAAAAAATGCCATTGATTAATGTGAGACAATATTGTCTGAGTTAAATTATTCCAAGTGACTGGTAAAAACAGCCCATTAAATATAGTACAGGACAAGTATATGTAGAGAAGCTGAAACAAATGGCACTGACGTACATCAGAAGTAACAATGTCCCGGCGTCTGAAACCCTTCTTCCCTTCCGCTTTTACCTATCTTGTGGAAACAAAAATTCATTATCTACTAACTTAAATGTAATTAACGGTTTTTCTAGACAATTCCTCATCGCCGTTAGCTAGGATGAGCTCCACAAAAAACAATTCTAAAATATATTCTCGTATTATATATTATCACTACTGCTATAACTTGCAAGTTTCGTTTTCAGAACGCTGAAATTAGTTAATTTTCATTTTTGGCCCTCAAGACGCCTATTTCCAATTTGTAGTCAGATTTGTGAGAGTGTAAGAAGCCAGGCGATAAAAAAATTCTGGTCTAAGTGCGTAGCGCAGTTAAAAGGACGTTGAAAACATCCACAGGAGGCTGGAGATGCAGAGCGGAAGAAGTGCTTACTTAGGACGAGCGAGGCCGACTTCAGTCCCCAGCAAGGCCAAAACCCCACCAATATCTCAAATGCATTGATTTTTTTCGCAAGCCGGTTACTCCGTTTTTATTCCCGGTTTTAGGTAAGAGCTGAGGAACCCGTCCACCAGCAGTCGGCTCCATTTATAATCTGCACTCCGGAGACTCTTGTGGCCCCAGCAAAGGTTGGCGCTGCGAGGCTCTCAGAAGTGCGAAGGGCCCGGGGACCGGGCGGACGTGACAAAATCACGACCGAAGGGGAGGCCAGTGCCACTGGGGCCGCCCACCGGCTTGGCGCGCCTCAGGCACCGCCCAACTCCCCGTCGTCCCGGCAACTAGACTGCGAACCCGCGTGCGCAGACCAAATTCCCTTATCACGTGAAGCCGGCCGGGGGCGGGGCCGAAGAGTGCCATCGCCCCGCCCTTCTCAGCGTTCTGCCTGCGCGGGCGGGGCAAACCTGCTTCGGGGTGACTGACAGTTCCCGCCCCCTTTTCACTTTGCTTTCTCTAGGCTCCTCCCCTCGTATCACGTGCCTTCCTGGCCGCTCCCCTGCCGCCCTGTCCAACCGCCTGTTGGAAACTGTTGTAAAATGTCGTGAAGTCCGTCTCGGCTTTACGGCTGCCGCTCCTAGAACGAGAGCCCCGGAGCGCCCACCACAGTCAGCTTTTCCTCCAAAAGAGTCGGCCCGGCGGAGAGCGAGAGGCCCTGCTGCCCTCACTGCCGCGCTCCGTTCCGGCCCCCGGCGATGTGAACTGCAAGAGGTTACCGTGCCGCCCCGCCCCCCCCACCCCCGGGCCCGGGGGTTGAGACGGGCGACAGGTGCCTGTGAGGCGGGCGGGTGCCGGGGGCCAGCAGGATGGAGGAAAGCATGGAGGAGGAGGAGGTGCTCACCTACGAGGCGATGATGGACGACCAGAACCACAACAACTGGGAGGCTGCTGTGGACAGCTTCCGGCAGCCGCCGCCCCCCTTGTCGATCCCAGCCCCTGTCCGAGAGCCTCCGGGGGGCCAGCTGCTGGCCGTGTCCGCAGTCTCGATAGACAGGAAGGGCCCTAAGGAGGGGCTCGCCATGGGGCCGCCACCGCCGCCGCCGGAGGCCAATGGGGTGATCATGATGTTGAAGAGCTGCGACGCGGCCGCCGCCGTGGCCAAGGCGGCCCCCGCCCCCACCCCCAGCTCCACCATCAACATCAACACCTCCACCTCCAAGTTCCGTGAGTCCAGCCTTTCCCTGGCACCCTTGGCTTCTCTCCTCCCCACCCGGACGCCGAACCCACCCCCTGTCGGAGCAGCCCCGCTTTCTTTGTCTCAGACCCGGGTCGCTCTCTCTTCCCCTCCCTCCTTTCCTCCCTCCGGGTCCCCTCCCCCTCGCTGGGTGTCTGCGGCCAGCGCCCGAGCCGCCCTGGCTTCTTGTGTTACCTGGCCTAGGAAGCAGCTTGGTCTGCACGCAGCCCCAGGTTCTGCAAACGCGATCCTTAACGCGACTGGCCATCTCTCAAAGTTAGGCAGCTCTTTTCTCATCTATCCACCCCTTAAAGTTTCACCCTCAAACGCGAATGGAAAGTAAGGCGGCCTGAATTTCTTCGGGGAAGAGGCCTTCTTTCTTTTCTTTTTTGCCTAGCCAGAGAGAAAAAAAAAATTGGTAGCTTGGGGCCTCGTGCTTGCGGTTAGGTCTTCGGGAAACAAGTCGGGAATCTGAAAGTTGACTTGTATCCACATACCTTCTTTTTCTTCTCTACACTTTTTTTGCATGCTGCTGGGATGTTGCTTCCTGGTGCAGTGGGAGCTGAGACAGTCTTTTTGAAACTAATGTGTAAAGTCATTTTTCAGAGAAGAAATTCAGCGTGTGCCCAAACCCAAGATTCTGTTGCACGTTGAACTTTTCTTAGGGATCTGCCTTACCACTCAGTCGCAGGCAAAAGTAATCCGGAATGCCCCCTACCAGGATGTATACTTCCATAGCTAGGAAAAGTGTACTTTTGCTTTGTTTTTTCTCTGTTGGTGGTGGTGTGGTGAAAGTGAATGTGATCATCACAGCCAGGTTTTTCTCCTGTTAGTAACTGCAAGTTTAAAATGGCATCTGGAGATTTCATTTCTAGTTACTAATTTTATCAAGCTGTACCAGTAATTGTCCACTTAGCGGTGGAGAAAGTATTTGCCCTGATGCACATATGTAGTTACAACCTTACACAGAAAGTTTTATGGGAACAGCACACAACTCTATTAACTTGCCTTCAAGATACTGCTTTAGTCAAAGACACAGGTGTGTAGGTGTGATTGGTAAGACTTGTGTATGATTTTCCCTATTGTACATATATGAGGTTAACATTTATATGGTGGTGTTTGTGTGTTAAAGGCTACATTGTGAAACCAGACCTTGTGCAGAGTGGCAGGGTGATTTACCTAGATGCTGAAAGAAGCTTGCATTAGTTCTTAAAGCTCCTCAAAGAGATTTAAAAACAAGCAGAAAGAAGTGAAGTTGAGAACAAGTTTGCCAAACTCAAAATGATTGTTCTTTGAAAAGATTAATAAGCTAGGAAGGCCTCTGATAAGACTGATCAAGGAAGAAAAGAGATGCAAATAAAATAAATGAATGGAAATGCAACTATTAGATTTTAGAAAACATTAATTACTGTGTGCCAATGAATTTTAAAACCTAGGTGAATTAAAACATAATTGTTAGAGCACTTAACTGGGTCGAAAGAAAGCTTGAGTTAGTATTTAATAAACTTAAGTAGTAATCTTAAAGGTCTCCCCTTTCAAAATCTCTGGATCCAGATGCTCTTATAAATGAACTTAAATAACACTTCTTTTTACAAGTCCTAGAAAATGGAAAAAGAATGCCAAGCCCATTTTTGAGGGGTTAGTGAAATCTTGATTCTATAACTAGTTAAAAAGTTTTGTTTCACTTATTAGCATAGAAATGAAAATTGTACACAAAATTAGTTTCAAATTGAGCCCTGTATAAAAGAATCATGGTTGATAGATTTGTCCTAGGAATGTATGCATGCCCCAACATCTGTAATCTATTAGTGTAATTTCTCATTAGTCTATGAAAGAAAAAATCATGGTTTTCTCAATTGATGCCATAAAACCACTTGAGAAGAGCCAACACCTATTTATGATCAAACTTAGCAAGCTAGGAGTATAATTAGATAAAAGTCATTACCAAAAACCTACAGCAGATAATACTACTAAATGGAGACATTTAAGATACATACTCACTTTAAGATGATAACAAGTTAAGGATGGCCCCATCTCTGTTACTGTTTAACATATAAGACAGGTCCTGGTTAACACTATAAGGGTGGGGAGGAGGAGAGAGAGAAGGTGTTGAGACTGGAGGGGAAGCAGTAAAATTCAGAATTTGCAGAAGTATGATCACTTATCAAGAAGTACTGTTAAAACCAAGAAATAACCTTTTTTTTTTTTTTTTTTTTTGATGGTACTCAAGTTTGAACTAAGGGCATCATGCTTGCTAAACAGTCACTCTACAACTTGAGCCACTCCTCCAGCCTCCCTTTTTTTATGTTGAGTATTTTTGAGATAGGGTCTCAAACTATTTGCTCTGACTGGCTTTGAATGAGATCCTTCTGATCTCTGCCTCCTGAGTTGCTAGGATTATAGGTGTGAGCCACTGGCATCTGACTAAGAAAGAAATTTAAACTAGTAAGATTTTACAAGAATTGTTAGATTTAAGAACAACCTATAAAAAATAGTAATATTTACACAACTAGTAAAGGTAGTAAAAAGTAGATGTCATAAACAATAATAGCAACAAAACTATAATAACTCAAGAACACATAGGACCTTTAAAGAGAAACTTTAAAGCTTTAAAAAGGAACTGAGGATGATCTAGATAAGTAGCACATGTGTATATGCTCTTGAATCAAATTACTTAGTATTATAAGAATGTATCATGCTGACCTAGAAATTCAATTTAAATGGCATCCACAGTACATTTGGTTTGTTTGACAAATAATCTAAATCTAAAATTTGTATGGTGGGTGTAATAAAGTTTGTGAATGAGTAAATCACTTTTAAGCATTTGTTTTGGGGGTGACTTGCCTTATCAGAAGTTAAGATAATATTTCAAAGTGGTAATACTACTGGTATAAGTACAAGAACAGAAAGAAAAAAAAAAAGTCCAAGGGAACAAATTAGAGGGCAGAGAATTACCTATGTATATTTGGAGTCTAGGGATGGGCTCATGTGGAGAACAAACTTGACACAATAGCAGGATAACAATGACAGGATAGACAATGAATTCAAAACCTAAATGTATTTTAAAAAAAAAAACCAACTGTACAGTTGGTAGAAAAATGTTGAAGAAGCTCTTTCCCTTGGGATGGGGAAGGACTTATTAAAGATTCAAAAGCCTATACTGTGAAAAATTAGTAAACTTTTTTCTTTTAAACTTTTTTTTTTCACAATTACTTACATGTGTATACATTATTTGGCCACCTCCCCTTCTCCCCAATTAATAGAAAATTTGGTATATAAAAAATAAGAATTTCATTCGGCAAAAGATGAAAGAATAAGATACTTGTAGTGTCTAAAATTGACAGGGAATTTTTGACTAGATAAGAGGCAACATAACAATAAAAGGGCAGCTACTTTTTTTTTTTTTTTTTTTAGAATGATAGGCTATTAATGAGTAGTTTCCTCTAAAAAAGAACGCATAGGAATAGATGAAGGTATTATTAGAGACATACAGACTAAAACAGGTTGGAATGTCTTTTTGTCTTTAGGTTGACAATAATTAGAGAGCTGAATAGTGCCAGGTGTGGGTGGGAATATTTGGATATAGGAAAACTTAACTAGCTGGTGGGAATTACAGCGTAGTGAACTTTTGTGCTGTTAGATGCCCAAGGTCTTTGTGGACCAGAAAATGAAAGATAGCTAGTGTGGATGTAGCCCTGAGCCAAGACAGTAAAGGTAGACTGTCAGGTGAAAATGGCGTTTGGTGGTTTCTACCATTGAAATACAGAAAACTTGATGGGTACATGCTAGGTCCCAGTAGTCAAGCCTTGTCTGGATCAGTACTACAGTTCATGCACCACTAGATGTGATTTACTGTAATCCTCATTGTCCAAGACCCATCTCCTCTGCTCTGGCCAATTAGGGTAGTGAAATGGGAATGTCATAACAATCACCGTCAGGTCTTTGAAGTTGGTATCATTCTTTATAATTCCGACTGGCATGTGCTGTTTATTGCTTTGGGTTATTTTGGTAGGTTGGGGCTCCTCTAAGGGGGTTCCATTTGGTCCTCCTACATTATAGCCTTGCCTCCACAGGTCAGGAAAGTATTTTCTGTGTGTTTAGGAACAGGGTAAATTATAGGGTGGGATCATGGATCCACTGGTCCCACTGATAGATTGAAGATAGATTGAAGCCAAAACATCATTTATTATATGCCCTTCCTGATCTGACTGGTTTACCACAGTGACATTTTGGTCCCTTATGGGTAGTAGATACTATCATCAGCTTAGGAGCCGGTATTGAGTAATCCTTGAAAAAGCTGAGTGATTTCTGTTTTCCAAATATACTGTCTCTTTTTTAAATAGCTGTGTGTTCTGTTGGAAAAGGCTAGAAGGAAGTCTTTTTTTTTTTCCTGTGGTACTTGTTGGTGTTTGAACTCAGGACCTTGGCTTGTTAGGCAGGCACTCGATTGCTTGAGCCATGTCTTCAGCCTAAGGAAGAAGATTTTTAAGTATACTCTTTTTTGTTTTTTTTCAATGGCATTTCAAATTATTTTGCTATTCTACATCGGGTTCCAAAGATGCACTATTGTAGAGTTAACCCACAGTTTTTTGTCCCCAAAGTCTTGTCTTCAGAAGGAAAGATAAATGCATGGGCAATATGACAAATTCTTACCCAGACTTACTGGGACTCATGGGACGTCTACATCCTAGTGATTTAAAAGTATATTGTTATTCTATATCAGAAATAATGGTTCTTGAATAGGCATCTTATATATAAAACACAAACTCAGAGAGGGAAACAAAGCATAAGCGTCATTAAGTATGTTCTGGAAGCAAATTTGGAAGCTTTCCTCTCCTGTGTTCTGGGGATCCTGTGTTTGAACAGACTCAGTCTGGGTATTAGCTGAGAACTCTTGGCTTTTCATTGTGGTGGCTCAGTTGTGACCTCTGATATACCTACAGGCTTTTCTTTCCTGCTCCCATTGTATAGATCAATACCTTAGTATTGT